CCCCTCCCCCCCACCAGGAAACCCGCAGACCTGCAGAACCTAGCCCCCGGAACAAACCCTCCCTTTATGACTTTTGATGGTGAAGTCAAGACGGATGTGAATAAGATCGAGGAGTTCTTAGAGGAGAAATTAGCTCCCCCGAGGTAGGCCTCATAAAACCAGCATTCACCGTCTGATCGTCCCTTTGCCCCTTCGCAGACAAGCCTGAAACTCGTGGCTTCGTGTATTTGGTTTTCTGCAGCCGTGGTACGTCCGTCCTTCCTTAGCCGTGCCGCGGTGTGCTGCAGAACACGCAGAAAGAGCAGAAGCCTTGGGCGACGGTGGCCCGGGTCTCTTTGCTTCGTTTGCACCTGCGGTGGGGCAATTAGGGTTTGGCAGCAGGAAGCGGAGAGGAGGCGGGCCGATGTCGCATGGGTTGGCCACTTCTTAGGTCTGCGGCTGGGAGGGGAAGGAGTGCGCGTTAGCGTGTGATGTCGCGGGGCGCCGGATCTAGAAGGGAATCTTCTAGCACAGTTGGAGGTGCGGGTGGGCGGCCATGTCCCGGGAGAACAGCAAAGGCCTTCTCCCCAGACTGTGTGGCTGCCACACCTTGAACACAAAGAGATTAGAAAACCATCCGAGGGGGAAGGTTTTTCACTTTTGTATCCACTCAGAGAAAGACATGTTTGCCGCCCCCCCGTTATCTGTGCTATTCCAATTCTGAATTTTTCAAGGTACCCTAAGCTGGGGACCCAACACCCTGAATCTAACTCTGCAGGAAATGACGTGTTTGCCAAATTCTCGGCATTTGTAAAAAACACCAAGAAGGATGCCAACGAGAGTGAGTACCTGCTGTCTTCCTGTTCAATGCTCTCCACCTGGGGTGCCCCTCGGCCTCTGGCGTGGCTTCTTCTAAGGTCCTGGGAATTCTGACTGATTTCCCTGGGGGTAGGGACCTGTGTCTAGAAATCAGGAAAAAGTACCTTCGACGTAGAATCTGCACGTGCGTCTCAAGAGGTCAAATGCTTCCCCTGGAGGTTGGGAGCCCAGAAAACAATAAGCTTAGGGGCGAAGAATCACCGCCAGGAATTCCCCCGCCGGACCGCGGGAATCCGTTTCAATGAAGCTTCTGCCACTGCTTACCTCACTGTGGGCCTCCCATAAAAAGTTTTGAATAAACGGATGAGTTCTAGAAGGAGCAGTGTTGTGTAGACAGCAGAAGTATTTTCCAGGGAGGAGTGAGTCCTTTATTCAGATCTTAGAAGTCCACATCCTTCCCTCCCAATTCCCCAGTGTGGCCCAGCCATGTGTCGGGAAGGAGAGGAGATCAACTCCTCGTTTCATTGTCGAGAGAAAGGTAACGCTAACTCATACGGCTGGCTTATCTTGGTCATTTCTGGCCTTTCTGTTTTAGTTTATGAAAAGAACCTGTTAAAGGCTTTGAAGAAGCTGGATGATTACTTAAATAGCCCTCTGCCTGATGAAATAGATGCCTACAGCACTGAGGATGTTGTCGTTTCTGGAAGGAAGTTCCTGAATGGGGATGAGCTCACGTTAGCCGACTGTAACCTCTTACCCAAGCTCCACATTATAAAGGTTTGACGTTCCTCCTACCGTAGCTGCTGAACACACGAATGGGGCCTTATTTTATTTCGGCCAGACATTGAAACAATCTAAAAGGCAGACTCCTGAATTAAAGAGTCAGTTGGTTTCTGTTTGAGGCGGTCAAATCCCAGACGTCAGATACATGGATATTCTCAGATATGCTTTAGGTAGTCTCAAGAAACTTCTGGGAAGTTGGGCCCCACCCCTCCATCCTCACTGCTTCTCATTTCAAGTCTAGCCCCCACATCCTAAAGAAAAGTTATATGAGAACAACTTGAGGGCAACGTTGATTATACCTGGCATTTAATGCTCGAGGTTTGGAGACAATGCATGGAATCTGGGAGCAGTGCAGTGTGAATTCAGTTGTTGGTGATAGAAACAGTTCTGTCTGGGGGCGCCTGGGTGGCGCAGTCGGTTAAGCGTCCGACTTCAGCCAGGTCACGATCTCGCGGTTCGTGAGTTCGAGCCCCGCGTCGGGCTCTGGGCTGATGGCTCAGAGCCTGGAGCCTGTTTCTGATTCTGTGTCTCCCTCTCTCTCTGCCCCTCCCCCGTTCATGCTCTGTCTCTCTCTGTCCCAAAAATAAAAAAAAAAAAAAAAAAAAAAAAAAAAAAAAAAAAAAAAAAAAAAACAAAAAACGTTGAAACAGTTCTGTCTGGGGATGGCAGAGATGTGTCTTCTCAGCTCTTAATATCACCCCCCTACAGCTAGGGAGCAGCTCCTTGGCCGGGCCTCTGCTAGATTTGGCATCCTGTCTTGCCAGATAGTTGAACAGGAAATCAGCATTGTGGGTCATATATGTTAGGGTTTAAAGTCTCCCTAGACCAGTGGTTCTCCACCATTAGTAGGCGTAAGAATTATTTGGGGAGCTTTCTAGAATTGAAAATCCTCCAGTCCAGCCTCTGGTCTACTAAATCAGAACTTCTAGGGGTGACCCGGAGATTCCAAAGTAGATGGCCCTACCCCTGGCCTCTGGAGTTATGGTGGTCTCTAAGTAGTGCCCCCAGCCTTCACGTCTCATCAGTTGTTATTATCATTATCACCACTGCAATGTTCTTGACCCTCCGTAGCCTCAGAGGCCCCAGGAAGAAACCCAAGCCTTGTTCTGGGGCATCTTGATGATTAAAATCCCCTCAAGTTCAAACCTGGGTCCTCAGTATAAAGATGGGGGAGATGGGCAAGAGGGGGATACAAGTCAAGGACCCTGTAATTTCATAACTCATGTAATTGCCAGTTAGAAACTCACAAATGAGGATCCCATAATCTGTGGTGCTAATGCTCCTGTAGGCTACCAGCTGCCCCTGGTTGTCTTGCCTTTCCTTCCTGTATTTTCTTCTTCCTTCCTGATTCCTTTCCCAACTCTTGTCCCATTTCTCTTCCTTCTTCTCTCTTCCTTGTTGGGCTTGAGGGATACCAACTTGAAATCCAAGCCTTGAAGATGTGGCTGAGCCCTCAAGCGAATGTTTTTTTCAATAGTTTTGCCAGGTCCCCAGCATCTAAAATGTAACGAAAGCATCTCAACTCGTCAAAACCTCCTCTATTTGGGAGCCAGTTTCCAACCAGATATCGACATAGTTGTGTTTTGGTTTAGTCCCTTTAGCGAATGTGTTGTAGTCATTGCCATGACCAGTGTAGCCTCACAGCAGTACGTGGAGGTTGGGGGAAGCAGGAGAGATGCTCCGACCGTTCAGCACTGATTGCCACTTGTTCATCTCCCATGAGGAAAGAGTATTTTAGATTTTGGTAGATCTAAAAGGGGGTAAACTTGAGAGTCAAATAAAACAGCCCAATATTTGACCCGAGAGCCAAATCTTCCAAAGCCATTGGACATCCAAAATACCAAAATAGCTTAATAATCTTTCAGGATGGAATACCTTCTGAAAGGAAATGAGACTCCGTCTAAAAGAATGTATGATAAAAGATGAGAGAGTAAAGGAATTTTTCATCTATTCTCCTTCTTAAAACCCAACACAAGCAATAGGAAAAAAACAGAGCAAAGCTTCGTCTTTCATAAAACTGGAATAGGACAGGATACCAGTTCAGAGACTAAGAAACGTTGTCCGGTGTGAGGTGTCACAGGGCTGAGGCAGGTTTCTCTCTATCTTTAGTGAAGTTCAGGTTTCTCTAAAAGTAAATAGTACAGTCTTGAAATGCCCAACCCAGACTTCTTTGAGGACCGGGGCCATGAGAAGAGAAGCAGGAAACAGCCCCACGCAGATCATTTTCCATCTGAGGTCTCCGGGGAGGCAGAGTTGAAGGAGGAACCATGCAGAGGCGTCATCTTTGTGTCCTGCCGTCCATCCCCTAATCTGAAGGAACAGGGAGAGGAGATGGAGAGAGGGAATGTGCTTTTGGCTGCCGAGCAGAGGAAAGAAACAGTCCTGGAACCCGTCAAAAGAGGGACTGTAAATTTCCTGAGCTTTATTTTTAGCCGTGGTGACCTCCTGCCTAATCTGAGAGCCTCGGAGTGGAGGGTGTCCTAACTCTAACCTTGACTCTGACCTTGACCCTAACCCTAATTTGTCTGTGGAGCGGCGCATAGAGCAGTGTTTGGTGAGAGAGTGTTTGAGGGTAAACATCCAAATTGGTCTTCCAGCTACCCTGTCTCACTCTCTTTGTCCTCCACAGTATTTTTAAGAAGTGATAACTCCGGGGGCGCCTGGATGGCTCAGTCGGTTGAGCAGCCGACTTCGGCTCAGGTCACGATCTCGAGGTCCATGAGTTCGAGCCCCGCGTGGGGCTCTGTGCTGGTGGCTTGGAGCCTGCAGCCTGTTTCAGATTCTGCGTCTCCCTCTCTCTCTCTGCCCCTCCCCCGCTCGTGCTCTGTCTTTCTCTCTCTCTCTCAAAAATAAATAAACATTAAAAAAAAGAAATGCTAACTCCAGTAGATCTGCCTCATTAAAAGACGATTAATAACCAGAAAGAATCCAAGTGGGACCTCTATGTGGATAGAGATGATCAAGAGGGAGGGGGGAAAAAAGAAAGAGAAGGCACAGAAAAAGGAAAAGGCAGGTGAGAAACACATTTCTGATGAAGCACTGCTCCGGTAGATGAGAATACATTCGAGTCAGATACTTCTCTGTGGCCTCTGAGACATGAAAAAGAACATGGATCTTTCGAGAAGAAGCTCAGAGACAGGAACAAGATATCAAAAAATATATATAATATCACAGAGGACATGAAAATCATGAAAAAACCCCCAAACCCTTAAAGACAAATGAAGTAACTTCAGGGGCACCTGGGTGGCTCTGTCAGTTAAGCGTCTGACTTCAGCTCAGGTCATGATCTCGAGGTTCGTGAGTTTGAGCCCCGCGTCAGGCTCTGTGCTGACCGCTCGGAGCCTGGAGTCTGCTTCAGATTCTGTGTCTCCCTCTCTCTCTGCCCCTCCCCTGCTTGCGCTCTGTCTCTCTCTGTCTCTCAAAAATAAATAAATGTTAAAAAAAATTTAAAAAATAGCTTCAGAAATAAGGTACATTTAAGCGAGACATAGAACAAGACATTGCAGAAATTTGTCAGGGGTCTGGAGGGTAAGCCCTAGAACAGTTTCCAAAATTGAATGGACAAGCACAGGGATAAAAATGCTCAGCAATTTCCCAGATGTATATAATCAGGAGCCAGAGAACAGGAAAGGGAAAAGAAAAGAAAAGGAAAGGAAAGGAAAGAAAAGAAGAAGGGAAAATTTATTTTGAACTAAAGGATGATCTGAACCTTCAGTTTAAGCAACATGCCATGTTTGGAAAAATATAGTCCAGAATAATCAACACACGATGACATACCTGATAAATTACTGAACTTTAGGGGTCAGATAGGACACTCTGGGTGTCCAGACCATAATAATAATAATACCAGTAATATTAGTAATAAATAGTAAAGCCGTCTCCAGGGGGAAGAAATTCAGACTTGCCTCTTATGTCTTCATGACCACATTAAAACCAGAAAACAGTGGTTTAATAGTTACAGAGACTTAAAGGAAAGAATGCATGATGTAAGAATTTCCTATCCAGGTAAATTGTTTTTAGCTGGGCTTCTGGTCTTAACAAATTAAGTACTCCTGGGCTGTTTTTTTTTTTTCTTTTTAAAATAAAGTTTCTTTATGATGAATATAGTAATAAAATGATACTGAAAGTAAGAACCCCGGAACAGAGAAGGTGGGTGGTTAAAAGGGTTGGTGATAAACATAGAACCTATTTAAATCCAAAGACAGAATTAAGACCAAACAATGTTATAATAGTTACAGAACAGAATCAGAACATAGTCAACTTGGATGTTTTTACAACCAATAGAAGGGAGATAAGGAAGAAGAAATAGGAAAAACTGTAGTTGTACTAATTTCCTTATTTGTCAAAATCAAGAGTGAGTAGATATCATCTAAACTTGACAAGTCAAGAAATAGAGAATCTCTGTTATTTAAAGCTATGTAGGGAGAGAGACCGAAGACAAGTCGGGGAGGGGCAGAGAGAGAGGAAGACACAGAATCTGAAGCAGGTTCCAGGCTCTGAGCTGTCAGCATAGAGCCTGATGCGGGGCTTGAACTCGTTAAAAAAAAAAAAAAAAA